CTCCCTCAAAAAGATGTCTCTCTCTCTCTCTCTCTCTCTCTCTCTCTCTCTCTCTCTCTCTCTCTCTCTCTCTCTCTCTCTCTCTCTCTCTCTCTCTCTCTCTCTCAGAAAAATGTTAGGGAAATCCCCCTCCCAACCCCTTCCCAGTGCCCCTCGGCCACGGTGGACGAGAGGGTAAAGGCGCCAGGGTCGAACGCGCGACCACGGCTTCGGATACGTGGTCGCGGGTTCGAACCCCCAAAAGGGAGCAAAAAAGGCTCCCTCTGATTGCAACACTGCCCGGGGCTGAAAGACATGAAAAGCTCCGGGCTTAAAAAAGAGCGCCGTTGCAATCAGTTTTGGTTTTCGACTGCCCTCTGCGTGTGTTCAAGTGCCTTTGTTTACACACAATTGCGGGACACTTTTTTTTAAAGACAGATCGCGAGTGAAAGGTGGAGTGCACACCGCGTAGAATTTCGGGACAGGAAGCTTAAAAGAAGAAAAAATACTTTTTTTTATCTTTTTAATTAATTAATTATTTTTTTTCCTCGGATGAAGGTTTGTGGGTTTGTTAGCTGAAAAGTTATATTTGACATCTGTTTCATAGTAAAACCGCTGTCGTACCTTTGAATATGGATAGCTAGCCATTTTTTGTCACCTATATCTAATCAAAGCTCCTTTTATGCTCCCTTGAAGATAGATGATCAAATGTGAAATATCTTGTTCTTTATTAATTCCCGAAAAATTTCTACTTTATTTTGCCGTTTTTTTTGTTTACTGTTTATTCAAATGGCTTTCCTTCGTTTTCTTGTTTATAATTAAGTCTTTTCTTAGGCCGTGATGGCAGGTAAAATCTCCCTCTATCATTGTAAATGTTTGTCTATATCTCTGTATATGTCTGCCTATCTATTTGTTTATCAGTCTATCTACTATCTCATTATCTGTCATACGTATATCAATACCTATCTATTTATTTATCTATCTATCTATATACATATTAGTGACTTCCCTCTAGGAATATATGTATGTATGTATCGAGTCATAAGTACACACGAAGAAACACTCACATACACATTGTACACACGGGCAAGGATATTAGTCGAATTAATTGGAGACAAAAAATATATATATTCTTTTATTTTTTCAATAATATATATAATTATTATAAAATCTGTTCGAGAGAGAGAAAGAAAGAGAGACGGAGAGAGAGAGAGAGAAGAGAGAGAGAGAGAGAGAGAGAGAGAGAGAGAGAGAGAGAGAGAGAGAGAGAGAGAGAGAGAGAGAGAGAGTGAAAGAGAGAGAGAGAGAGACAGTGAGAGAGAGAGAGAGGAGAGAAGAGAGAGAAGAGAGAGAGAGAGAGAGAGAGAGAGAGAGAGAGAGAGAGTGAAAGAGAGAGAGACAGTGAAAGAGAGAAAGACAGTGAAAGAGAGAGAGAGAGAGAGAGAGAGAGGAGAGAGGGAGAGGAGAGGAGAGGGAGAGAGAGAGGAAGAGAGGAGGAGAGAGAGAGAGAGAGAGAGAAAGGAGAGAGAGAGAGAGAAGAGAGAGAGAAGAGAAGAGAGAGAGAGAAGAGAGAGAGAGAAAGGTGAAAGAGAGAGAGAGAGAGAGAGAGAAACGTTTGTATGTCTGCCTCTCTATAAGCCTTCTCTTTGTACTTGGAATTTAATTACTGTCACGTACATGGATACAATCTGAAACACACACACAAACATACACATGTACACACACACACAAAGGGTAAATAGGAGAGAGAGTCGATTAATGTGCTTGATAATGAGGTCATTTCCAGCAGTTCCGTGGCCGTGGAAGCGAGGGTTCGATTCCCGGTGATTTGCCTTTTATGAAGCTGAACAGGAAAATGAGCGAGTGTGTCCCTCGCGAGATTTTGGAAGGAATCCGTGAGATAAAAAAAGAAAAAGAAAACCAAAATGGCCGCCGTCCGTTATTTCGAAAATTTTAATTGTTGCTCGGATTTGAAGGATATAAAATCTCTTTTGACCTTTAAATCCTCAGTAGTTAGTGATCTTTATCGTATGGTATTAGGTTCTAATCAAAGGTCTTTTTACACTCACTTAAAATGTAAAAAATAAAATTACAAGTTATTATTATTATTTTGATTAATTTGCGAAAATTACTTCTTTCGTTTTTTTTTTTCATATAACTTCTTAGGATGTTTTCGTTTATGATTTTGAATATATTTTCTTAGGCATCTGATCGTATTTAGTTCCCTTTATCAGTCTCTCTCTCTCTCTTTCTCTCTCTCTATCTATCGTCTATATCTTTATATACATATAATTAGAGACATTAAAAATATACATATCATCGAGTGATATGTACTCACGAATAAACATTCACACACACACATGTACACATAGCAATGGTAGTAGACGCCTAAATTAGTGACCAAAAGAATTGTTTTTTCAAGATAACTTTTATTTATCTATTCAATTCGCATTATGAACCAGTTCTTTATGTAAAAATGTTACGGGAGAAAGAGAGACAGACAGCAAGACTAACTGACAGAGTGAGCGAGCGAGAGAGGGAGAGAATGAGAGAGAGAGAGAGAAGAGAGAGAAGAGAGAGAGAGAGAGAGAGAGAGAGAGAGGAGAGAGAGAGAGAGAGAGAGAGCAAGAAAGAGAGAGATAGAGAGAATCATAATTATTTTTCTATAATAGACCTGTGATCACCCATTATATATCTAACTCATTATTTTTATTCAATTATTTCAGCAAATTAATCTTAAAACTCAAGTAGTCCATTTATCCCAGTGATTCCCCCCTTTTTTCAGGCGACCCCAGTCATGCTCCTCCAGACATGATCCCCGACCCCAGTTCATGCTCCTCCAGACATGACCCCGACCCAGTCATGCTCCTCCAGACATGACCCCGACCCCAGTCATCTCCTCCGACATGACCCCGACCCCAGTCATGCTCCTCCAGACATGACCCCGACCCCAGTCATGCTCCTCCACACATGACC